GGGGGGGAGGGGAAGAGAGAGAAGGAGAGAGAGAGTCCCAAGCAGATTCTGGACCGTCAGCACAGAGCCCGATGTGGGTTTCCATCCCACAAGCCATGAGATCATGACCTGAGCCAAAATCAAGAGTCTAACTGACTGAGTCACCCAGGCACCGCATGTCCAATTCTTGATTATGGCTCAGGTCATGATCTCACATTCCTGGGATTAGATTGATCCCTATGTCGGGCTCTGCACTGACAGCTCAGAGCCTGCTTGGGATTCTCTCTCCCTCCCTCTCTCTCTCTTCCCCTCCCCTGCTAGCACAGGTGCACACACACACTCTCTCTCTCTCTCTAATAATAAATAAATAAGCTTAAAAAAAAAAAGAACGTGGCACATATGGATTTGTGATAAATATTACCACATTGTCAATAGTTTACAGGATCTAAGTAGAAGTGGCATCTCAGTGCTGATATCAGCAGACAGAGATCTCTATCCTCTGCACTCTCCCCACAGAAAAAAGAGTCCTCCCCGGTTGTGACCTTTACTCTTTGGCTTCTGGACCCATCTTCCTAAAGAACTGAGCTCCTCAGCACATGTGTTCTGAGGCCTGGTTGTACTAGGTGCTCAGTAACTGGTACAATGCTAATTTGCCAGTCCAGGATTTAAACTTCACCCCCCACAACAAGATAGAAAAGTCTGATTTGGGGATCATCGCCACAATCCCTCCAAAGGGTTGTAGTGACGGTCAAAAGAGATGATGTCCAGACCAAGTTTGTCATTATTGTCCTTGTTAGCTCAGAATTTCCCAATAAATGGTAGCTACTGTTATCAATTATTAATAATTAATATGTAATGTAATTATTAATATTATGTCATTATTAATATCCATTGCTCTCTCAATCCCCTCCCTTTGGCATCTCATCCCCACCCCTTCTGAGAACATTATCAACCTCACGTCCTGATGTCCAGTACATATAGATGCATCTTAGGTACACAGAGGTCAAGATTGGCCTGTGGCCCCTTGTACTTCAGTTCCCTTATCTAGAAAACAGAGATGATAAATTGTTGGAAGGATTCATCATGGGAGGGCCTAGAATAGCACTTAGAACATGTTCATCATCAGCACCTTGATGATCTTCTTTAATAATTTCAACTCCCACCAAGTAATACATTCCATGACCCTCTTTTTCACTCATGGGCAAGCCCTTCTCTGTGAGCCATGCTTCTGTGACTCCCTCTTGCCCTTTTTTTTCCCCTTTCCATTATAAAAACAAGTCTTGCTTGGTTGCCAAATAAAACCCAAGCATCACATTCAATCTATTGCAAGCCTGGCAAAATCCAGGCCAGCCGTGGAACAGGATGGCAGGTGCTGAGATCCACGCGGCCAGCTCTGGAAAGAGCAGCCAGAGACCCATTCCAGGCGTCACTGGGAGGCACCCTGAGCCAGGCCAGAAGTCACCTGGGAAGGTGTATACCCAAGAAAAGGGAAAAAAGATGCACTAAGTTGGAAATAAGCATTTCTGGAAAAGTCTGAAGCTGATGCGACTTTTCTATCTTGCCTGAGGCATCTTTCTGGCCTGGGGCAGTTTTCAAAGCCCTTGAAGGCATGTCTAAGCTCTCCTTTGCTTATAGTCTTCTAACAGCATTTCATTCGATTCTCTCAGGGTCACCAGTGTGATTTTCCTTTAGCTCCAGCTCTGATTTTTGTTTTCTAGGATTGAGTATGAGCTGTGCTCCCTTCCAGGCCTGGACCAATCAGCTCCTTGAGCCCCTCCCCCAAGTAGCGGGCCCTCATGCTGAAGGAACCACAGTGACAAGCACGTCAAGGGCCCTCTGCCAAGGCGGGAGAAGCTTTTCACAAGAACTAAATTAAGGCACGACATTATTTTTCAAAATGAGAAAATACTCATTAACAAAGTGCACACCCTACATTTTAATTTTCACTCTTAATTGTGAATTTGTTCATGTTAATTGCTCAATAAAATGAAGTACAATGGGTCACAGGATATAGAATCCCTCTCTTCCCAGGCCTACAACACCTAATTATTCCATCTGGTATTAAAATCACAGCCTCTGCACTCAAGATTATATAGCCACAAAATCCCACCTGACTAAGCTAACACAAGACGCTGGCATCCCCTAGATTAAGTTCCTGAAATTGCATGTGTATTTATGAAGGATAATTAAATACTTTAACATTTATATTGTGCTTTTACATGCTTTAAGTGATTTATAAGCACTAATTCTTGTCATCCTTGTAATAACACCACGAGATAAGTACTAGTATAATTAGTCACATTTTGCAAATGAGGAAAGCAAAGCCCAGAGAGATGGAGTTATTTGTCCAAGGTCACACAGCTACACAGTGGTAGAACAAGATGTAAATGCAGACAGGCTGGCTGGCTATAGTGCCTGTGTGCATAGCCACTACACTACCTTGAGACTAGCACTTTCCACTACACTTGGGAAAATGTGAATGCTACCCGGACACATGGTGAAATAACCATCTCACAACATCCAGTTTCAGTGACCCCTGCTGGCCACTCTGAGACCGCACAACCACAGAGTCAGGTTTAGCCTTGAACCTTGGGTTAGGTCCCATCCGTTTTTAATCCTGGCTCAGTTACTTCACCTCTCTAAAGCTCAGCTTCTGCTGTAATGAGGATTACAAGGGTAATACTTGCAAAACATTCGAAGCAGTGCTTGGCACACCCTAAGAGTTCAATAAATACTAGCCCCCATTATTATTATCATTTTGCAGATGAGAATGCTGAGAGAATCAAAGGACTCCCCCAAAATCAAAGCCACATTGCTCATTCATAAGAGTCCCAAATGGAGGGGTGCCTGGGTGTCTCAGTCGGTTAAGCATCTGACTTCAGCTCAGGTCATGATCTCACGATTCGTGAGTACAAGCCCCTCATCCAGCTCTGTGCTAACAGCTCAGAGCCTGCTTGGGATTCTCTCTCCCTCTCTCTCTGCCCCTCCCTGGCTCTCTCTTGCTCTCTCTCTCTCTTTCTCTCTCTCTCAAAATAAATAAATAAACTTAAAAAAAAAGTATTCTTAAAAAAAAAAAAGAGTCCCAAATTAAGATTCAGACCCACGCGCCCCGGGTGCCTCAAGCATATTCTACTAGAGCAGGTGTGGATTCATCTTGTCACTTGCCCTTCCCTGCCCTGCCAGTTGGGATATGTGCTCATTCTAATGGCACATCAGGGCTCCTGGCCCCCAAGGAACCCCCAAAACCCATCAGGAACAAATAGGGGTTTCGAATTCCAGCTTTGCCCCACAAGCCTGTTGCCAGGAAGCTCCGGATGAAGGCACAGAGGCTCATGGTCACCCCTCACGCCAGCGTACTGAATCAGTGTTTGTTTCTTTCAGGGCAGCCCCAGGGCTGTGATGGCTGGAGAAAGTAAATGTGAAACCAACAAGGGAGAGATGGCCACGAAGGCAAATGAACAGCCAGCAATCAATATAATTAATCTGTCGGAAAAGCAGGCACCTAACTCAAGTGGGTTTGCTGCCAGTTTGAAGCATTTATCTTAAAGGCTGAGACGCACTGAGTCTGCTGAGAGAACAAGTTTGCATTTCAAAGATGCCTCCAGGAGAAGCGGTACCCCGTCTGCAAACAAGGTCTTTGAAGGTTTGTAATTCCTCAACATCTAGCAAAACAATCACTCCATAAAGGCAGCTTAACTCTGTCAGAGGTTTCACTGTGAGAGAGGGGCATCTTTTCACGGTTCCCCCCAGAGACCCTGGGAGGTTTTCCGCCCCCATGTTTGAGGCAGGCATGAGACTGTCCCACCAGGAAATCAGACTGTTAGGACAAGACAGAGTGGTCACCTTTCCCCCAGCATATATTTCTCCAGAGATAACTTCTCTTAAGACACAAGAGGCCGTGCCTAGGACCCAGGGCAATACTTTTAGAGGACCTGGAACATGTTTTCATTCCTTTTAAAAGAAAAAAAATGATCTTTTAGGTGGTTGGAAATGTTTTAGTACTATATATGTGTATATATAGTATATATATACATATACATACATTTGTCTTTATACCCACATAGCTGCTGTGTGTCTGTGTGTGTGTGTGTTTAAAGTTTATTTATTTATTCAGCGAGAGAGAGAGAGAGAGAGAGAGAGAGAGACAGAACACAAGCAGGGGAGGAGCAGACAGAGAGAATCCCAAGCAGGCTCCCCACCGTCAGCACAGAGCCGGATGTGGGGCTCAAACTCACAAAACACAAGATCATGACCTAAGCCAAAACCAAGAGTTGGATGCTCAACCAACTGAGCCACCCGGGCACCCCTGTGTGCTTTTGGGTTTTTTTTTTAATGTTTATTTATTTTTGAGAGCAAGAGAGACAGAGAGAAAACATGAGTGGGGGAGGGGCAGAGAGACAGAGAGAAAATCTGAAGCAGCTCCAGGCTCTGAGGTGTCAGCACAGAACTGGACATGGGGCTTGAACTCACAAACTATGAGATCATGACCTTAGCTGAAGTTGGACGCTTAACCAACTGAGCCACCCAGGCACCTGCTTCTGTGTGTTTTCTTAGCGTAGGAAGGGGGCATTGAAGGCAAAAGTGGCAAAAGTCTCCAACAGGCACATGACAAGATGCTCAATATCACTAATCATCAGGGAGATGCAAATCAAAACCACCATGAGATATCACCTCACACTTGTTAGAATGGCTATTATCAAAACAAAACAAAACAAAACAAAAACAAAAACCAAGAAATAATAGTGTTGGCAAGGATGGGGAGAAAAGAGAACAGCCCATACACTGATGGTGGGAAAGTAAATTAGTGCAGCCACTGTGGAAAACAGTATGGAGGTTCCTCAAAATATGAAAAATAACAACCACCATATGATCCTGCAATCTCACTTCTAGGTATTTATTCAAAGAAAATGAGGATACAAACTCAAAAAGATAAGTTCATTGCACATTATTTACAATAGCCAAGATATGGGTGCAACCTAAGTGTCCACTGATGGGTGAATGGTAAAGAAAGTGTGGTACACACACACACACACACACACACACACACACACACACACACAAATATTATTCAGTCATGGAAAAGTATATATGAAATCTTGGCACATGTGACAACATGAATGGATCTTGAAGGCACTGGGATAAGTGAAATAAGTCAGAGAAAGACAAATACCCTATGATCTCACTTATATGTGGATTCTAAAACAAAACAAAACAAAAAACAACTAAGTTCGTAGAAACGAGAACAGAGTAGTAGTTGCCAGAGGTGAGGAGTGGGGGGTGGGAGAAATGGGTAAAGGGAGTCAAAAGGTACACACTTCCAGTTAGAAAATAAAAATTCATGGGGATGTAACGTACAGCATGGTGACCATAGTCTGTAATGCTGTGTTGCTTATTTGAAAGGTGTTATGAGAGCAGATCTTACGTTCTCCTATGAGAAAAATAATTTTGCAACTATGTATCATGACAGACTTGAACCAAACCTCTTCTGGAGATCATTTTGCAACATACACAAGTATTAAATTGTTATGTGGTACACCTGCCAATTAATATAATGTTATGTGTCCATTATATATCACTAGGAAGAAAATGGCACAATCGGCTGGTGGCCTTCCCTTCCCTGCATCACCTCCCCACCGCCTCTCCACTTCCTTCCTATGTCCCAGATAAAAACTTGAACTCGAATCCTCAGTTCAGAGTCTGCGTCTGCTTCTCCCTTAGCAATCAACCCATTGCCTTTATGTTCAAGGCAACGTGACCCACAGGGGAGCACGCGTAAGGAAGACAGGACTCACCCACTCACTGTTGTGCCATTCACAGCCAGATACCTAAGTGTCTTCTGAGACAGCCTGTGGGGGTTGGCCACCCCACCCACCCTCTACACCCTGGAGAACAATGGAGTCTGGGGCCTTAGGGAGCAGAACAGCATCGTCAGAGGCCTGAGATCTTAGAACTGTCAGCATGTTAGTGGGTCTGCCATCCGCATCTCATGTCAAAGGGGACTTAGCGGGGCACCTGGTCGGCTCAGTCGTAAGAGCATGGGACTC